TCTATCTATCTATCTATCTATCTATCTATCTATCTATCTATCTATCTATCTATCTGACAAAGAGTTACTCTGAGTAGACCAGGCTGTCTTTAATTTGAAGTCTCTTGTCTCAACCTCTCTCTCTCTCTTTCTCTCTTTTACAGTTTATTAACTTTGTATCCCAGTTGTAGCCCGCTCCCTCATTTCCTCCCAATGCCACTCTCCCTTCCTCATCTCCTCCCTGCCCCTTTCCAAGTCCACTGATAGGGGAGGTCCTCCTTCCCTTCCATCTGACCCAAGCTAATCAGGTATCTTCAGGACTGGCTGCTATGTCCTCCTCTGTGGCCTAGCAAGGCTGCTCCTCCCTCGGGGGCAGGGAGGGGAAGGTCAAAGAGCCATCCATTGATTTCATGTCAGAAATAGTCCCTGTTCTCCTTACTAGGGAACCCACTTGGATACTGAGCTACCATGGGCTACATCTGAGCAGGGGTTCTAGGTTATATCCATACATGGCCCTTGGTTGAAGAATCAGTCTCATAAAAAAACCCTGTGCCCGGATATATTTGGTCCTTGTGGAGCTCCTGTCCTCTCCAGGTCATACTAACTCCCGCTTCTTTCGTAAGATTCCCTGCACTCTGCTAAAGGTTTGGTTGTGAGTCTCAGCATCTGCTTTGATAAACTGCTAGGTAGAGTCTTTCACGGGCCCTCTGTGGTAGGCTCCTGTCCTGTTACTTGTTTTCTCCTACTTCCAATGTCCATCCCATTTGTCTTTCTAAGTTGATCATGTTACCCTAGGTCCTCTTTCTTGTTTATCTTCTTTAGGTGTACAGATTTTAGTATGTTTATGCTATCTTATAGGTCTAGTACCCATTTATAAGTGAGTATATACTGTGTGTGTCTTTCTGCTTCTGGGATACCTCACTCAGGATGATCTTTTCTACATCTCACCATTTGCCTGCAAATTTCATCATTTTCTTGTTTTTAATTGCTGAGTAGTATTCCATTGTGTAAAAGTACCACAATTTCTGTATCCATTCCTCCATTGATGGACATCTGGGTTGTTTCCAGATTCTGGCTATTATGAATAAAGCTGCTACAAACATGGTTGAGCAAATGTTCTTGTTGTGTACTTAAGCATCTTTTGGATATATGCCTAGGAGTTGTATAGCTGGATCTTGAGGTAGCACTATTCCTAATTTTCTGAGAAAGCGCCAGATTGATTTCCAAAGTGGTTGTACAAGTTTACATTCCCACCAGCAGTGGAGAAGTGTTCCCCTTTCTCCACAACCTCTCCAGCATGTGTTGTCACTTGAGTTTTTGATCTTAGCCATTCTCATGGCTGTAAGGTGAAATCTCAGGGTCATTTTCATTTGCATCTCTCTGATGGCAAAGGACATTGAGCATCTCTGTAAGTGTTTCTCTGCTGTTTTATATTCTTCTACAGAGAATTCTCTATTTAGCTCTGTACCCCATTTTTTAATTGGATTGCTTGATTTATTGCTTTTTAACTTCTTTAGTTCTTTATATATTCTGGATATCAGCCCTCTGTCAGATATAGGGTTGGTGAGGATCCTTTCCTCTCTTGTAGTTGGGATTATAGGCTCAGGCCACCAGGATCAGGTCATGTATTCTTAAGCTTTCTCTTTGGCTTTTAGTTACTTGAAAATAGTTTAATCCTTTTGGTGTCGCTTATAAAAATGACTGTTTAGTTTCAGATTACTATCCCCTTGGCTGATCCCAAACCCTTCAGAGTTTTATCCCAAGCCCTATACAACCCTATATGAATGTCAGGTACTTCCATTAATGTTTTTGGAGAGTTCCCTTCCCAAGTCTTGAGTAGTTTTCTTTTTCAACACCTTCTTCCATGGGTTATTGATACTGTGCTGAATCTCAAGTATTACTTCTGCAGGTTCTTGGGGTTCTCCATGTTTACCTCTCCTCTAATTCTCTCTATCATTTTAACTCTGTGTATCTTAGTCTTATACTCTAGTTCCATTTCTTCATCTTAGGGAATATACCAGGGTCTACCAGAATGTCTTCTGTCTACATTCTGGTGTGGAAACTTTCTTGAGATGTAAATTGGGGCAGTTGCTGGGTTCTTCTCATGTTTTTTCTCTGGAAACCAGTGCCTTGTTCCTTGATATGCTTCATTAGACTGTGTGTGTGTGTGTGTGTGTGTGTGTGTGTGTGTGTGCATTCTATATATCATATTATAAACTATAAAATATATATGTATATATACACATACATATAAAATTTGGGTTTTGATTAATTTCAGATAGGATAGTAAATTTGTTTTCTTTTAATGTTATCATGGTAGGAAGTAGCAGTCCATGTATCTTTTGCATAGTGAAGGTGATAGGAGAACATTCCATTCCCAAGCTTAATTAAAAGAGATTGTTCATGCTGATAGACATTTACAGATTTTTTTTTTTTAAAGAATAGACCATTTGCTTTCCTTTTTTTTTTTTTTTTTTTTTTATCTACAGTGTATTCACAGTTGGGTTATATAATTATATATAATAAGGTAATATAAATCACTACTTCTATTCCATTTTAATTAAAATTAGATTGGTTTAGTACTTGATAAAAATCTGCTGAGAAAAGCACATGTTATGTGTATGTATGTGTGTGTGTGTCTTTGTCTCTGGTATTATCCAACAATATAGGAAGACATGAAATAAGGAGAGCCTGGAGATAATCTTTCTGTTGTTTGAAATTTTCTATCTCTAAGTTATGTTCTGATCAAGAACATCACTGTCCATGGTATAGTGCCTCCATAGTAAATCTCAAGAAACACATGTGTTTTTGTTTGTTTGTTTCTTAAACATGATTTTCAAGAAAAGAACCATATAAATTTGAAAGAAATTAAGGGTCAGATATTAAAAACTATATATGAGTACATGCCTTGTTTATGTATTTGCATATTTAAGTGCTTATAAATTAGTCAGTTAAATATTTATTTTCGTTTTATCATTGTTCACTTTGTGAATATACAAATAAATGCTTTTTCTCTGATATTCTATAACTTCAGAAACATGTTTGGAAGATGGTTATTTTAGTGCTTCTGTTTGTTAATGCATACAATTTCATGCAGAATTCTAATTACCTTACTATATGTAAAACAATAACTTCAACACTAAACGCATCTGAAGTGTAGTGGAGATAATTAATGTTAATTTAGCCTTATCAGTTTTATAAAATGTTTAAAAAACTGTAAAATACCTGTTTGACATTTGTATCAAAGGATTAAATTACTGTCTCAGTTTAGGTTCCACAATGTATAACTTAGAAATTAAGTTCCTACAAAGGACAATGGTGGTAAGAATAGATAAATTCTCTTGTCTATAACTAGACTTTTGAAGAATAATCAACCCATTATTTAATATTCACATTTTCCAAAAGAATATGTGTTTGTATGTTTCTTTTGGGAGTTGAAATAAATACCAGAAAGCTGCTATCTTTAAGCAACAAGCTTCTCTCCTACTCCCACTGTGATTATTTTAGAAGTCAGAAATGATTTCCCTTGAGTTGGAACCAAGGTGTCTAGAAGCAATTTTTCATAGGGAAGCTGCAAAAATCTGTTTCCTTTTCCAGTTTCTAAAAAGATGCAATTTTCACTCCTAGATCCTTCCTACATCTTAAAAACAAAGCCATGTGCCCTTCTCTATTCTGGAGCAAAGTATCCCATTTCTCTCTCTTCTGTGGATACTCGTGATTTCATTCACCACTACCTACATCACACTGGCAGCCTCCCAGGCTCAGGATCCCTCATCATATATTCCAAGTTTCCTTTTGCCCTATAAAGTAATATTCATAAGATGCAATTATCTTTGGAAGATCATTGTTTAGTTTTATTTATATGTTTATGCCAAAATGGAGTGGAGAGTACTGATAAAAGTACATAAAAGCAAGCATGTTCAAAAAAAGCCAAGTTTGGAAAGAAGTAGAGCAGATAGGTTGATGATATAAGCAAAAGATTCTAGAGTTCCTGTGTTATTTTTCAACAATTTTTATTATTGAATGGTTTTGTTTGTTTTAGACAAAAATAAAGGCAATCTTCTTTTCCTAATGTATTTCTCTTCTGCTACTATTTTTTCCTTCCCTATAAAACAGTTGCTAGTTATGGATTCACAAATTGAAGCAGTCATATAACCTGATGCTGAGATTAATACAGAATTGCTTTGTCTTTGATATTTAATGACTCTGTATACAGAGATCCTTTCAGATACATACTCTAAGTCATTTCACCTTCTACATTTTTGTTACTTCAACACCACTATGAAATTGACCATTTTACCACCAGAGGTGACACCCCAAATAAGGAGAAAGTTTTTAGGGAACAACTCTAAAGATTTCTTAGTTCTCAGGAGATCATTATCTCTCCTACATAATTCATTTCTGGTCTTGTTCATTTTCATGCCAGTCCTTATGACTAATCCTGTACAGTTGAAAAGATTCAGTTTGTAATTTTTTTGGTATGCTTAATGACCTATAGAGATACTAATAACTATGGTTTAGGAAAGTCTATATGCATTGCACTGTACAGTATAAATGTTCACATTTTCCTCTCTGAACCACAGAATACCAGAAGGTCCCATTGACCAGGGGACAGCTGCAGGAAGAGTTCGTGTTTTAGAAGAACAGCTTGTTAAGGCCAAAGAACAGATTGAAAATTACAAGAAACAAGCCAGAAATGGTATGTGACTATGCATGTTCTTCTCCATCTTAATATATGGACTTTAGCACAAATAACTGAAAATTCCTCTTACCAAAATGTTAGAAATACTCATACTTTTTATTATTTTCAGGTATGGGGAAGGATCATGAAATCTTAAGGAGGAGGATTGAAAATGGAGCTAAAGAACTCTGGTTTTTTTTACAAAGCGAGCTGAAGAAATTAAAGCATTTAGAAGGAAACGAACTCCAAAGACATACAGATGAAATTCTTTTGGATATAGGACATCATGAAAGGTACTATATCCCTACATGCTTCATTTGGCCTCTCATAAAGATATGATTTGTGAATGAGACATTGAGACTTTGTCTAATTTCTGTGCAGATTAGTAAATGGTACTGTGTTTAAGAGTGGTAGATTATCTGATATCCCAAAAGATAATTAATTGCCAAATGCAGTTAATCAGCCAAACTATATGATATTAAAATATTATTCAAAGTGTATATCTAGGAATCATTCCTCCACATACACTGTGGCAGTTAAACAATACATGAAAGTGTCTTCCTGTCAGAGTTCTTTGTAACAACTGGTATTTGAAGTAGAGCACATAGAATCATGGTCACAATGCCCTGAAATTCACACTGATTTCCAGATATCACATATTTAAAGATAGCACCTTTAAAGGGTTTCTGATGAAAGGTTAATAGGTTTTGGATAACGGGGCTATTATGTTAATTTTTTTATTTTCTAGAGAGGTGTACCTAGGGTCTGCCTTCCTAAATTTGTTTCTCCTATTTATACATTTCTAGTGATAAGCAGTTTATCATCCATAGGAAAGCATTTAGGTGCTAGTGTTCTTGCAGATAAAATATACATGAGAGTCATTCTAAATAAAGCGAAACATCCTTTGGCTTATCATATTTAAAAGCCTATATTCTCAGTAAGATTCTCATGGGAATTACTGTCTTATTAGCAAACAATGAAAGAAAAATGAAAAATTGTGTTAGTACAGCCTACTGCTGTGAGAAGAAATGAATTACCCCATACAAAGGAGAGTCACATATATTAACATCATCAACAATATTGCAGTGATTTTGAAAGATTGCTCTCCTGTTTTAAGTAAAATTACATACAAAGTCTCAGTGTATGATCTTTGCAGTATTGGTTTATAGAAATATGATAGTATAGTTTTAAAAGGTTGTTAAATTACTACGCTCCAAACTAGGCAGTCCGTTTGAAGTTTTTACCCTAGCTAGCAGTAAGCTTATACTTAAGAACATTAGGCCAAATGTTGACTAATTCTATCCTTAATAGGTTTCTACCCTAAAGCTGATTCTGTGCTCCAAGCTTCTATTAAATACAGGCCTTTGTGTTTGTGTGCTTTGCTTATAGCAGTTTTATAGGGGAAAAAATGCAGATTTAAACAAGATTTGATATAAGTAGATTATGTAGTATAAAAACAAAATTTCAGTATTGACTTCTGATGAAATGTTTACTCAAATAAATTAGTTAAATTACTTGATGAGAATTTAATTCCCAATTTTTTTCTAAATAATAATTTTAAATTGTAAATATAATTTGTGCATATGCTCTTTTAATTATATGCATAAAGAAAAAATGATCACAGTAAGTAAGCCCATGGTAAGTTGTCTGTAAATCACCATTACATTTTTTGCTAGTTGAACTTTAAAAAAAAAAAAAAAGCTCTGGCATTGCCATTTAGTGTATATTAAATAATAGAGTTCATTGAAAACATAATGCAAAGTACAAGTATACAAGTCTATTTCTTATGTTGTCTTAAATAGAGAGAATAATGACTCTAGGAGAAAACACAGGATAGTAATTTAATTCCTGGAAGACAGATTAGAATGTAGTAATACAGATAATGAGCAAACACAGCAACACATTAGAGAAATAAACCTTTAAAGTAGTGAATATACAAAAAACAATCACTGTTTTTATTTTTCTTAGATTTAAAAAAAATAGCATTAGATTCACAGAATATTAGAGAAAATACCACCAATTCTTATATATACTAAAGCTGGTTTCCTCTTTTATTTACATCTTAATTTATAGTATAGGAATTACCTGCTTTATTTTTGCAGTAGCCCAAATTATGGTCTATGAGTTGTTTCTGAACTAGCAGACTTGTCTTTTCTGAAAAATATATTAGAGTACCAACATATCAATTTCTTGTGTACCTGTTCTCTATGAAACTCTCTTACCTTTTTGTTAATAGCCAACAATAGAGGGAAAAATACTTAGGGTCTTTACTGAGGTATCATGCTGATAAATGATGGGTTTTAGCCATAGCTCATTGGTAGAGTGCCTCCGTAAAAGTGCTGGGCCTGGGATCTGACTGCCAAAACCCCAAGTGTGAGTCTACAAGTTGTACGCTTTAAAACATGTTTAATATGCATACACAGTGTGTAATGATTACCACAGTTAAATGAGTGAACATATCTTTTACCGCGCCTTAATGCGTGTGTGTTGATAACATGTTCTGCCTTACAAGTGTCAAGCAAACAGTCAATCATTACTTCATCATGCCAAATATCCAGAATTTAATTTCATTATTTCACAACTGAAGGTTTGCACCAATTGACAATACCTCCATATTTCTCCTACTTTCTAACCCTAGGCACACTATGCTTATATGAGGTTGACGTTTTTAGAGTCTATCTCTTAAGTAAGTACATTACAGTATTTCCTTTTCTTACTGGTTCATTTCACATAGCATAATAACCTACAGATTTATCCAAGATAAATTTTTTTAACTGATTTTCTGCTGGGCACTGGTGGTGCACACCTTTAATTCCAGCACTCCAGAGGCAGAGGCAGGTGGATCTCTGAGTTTGAGGCCAGCCTGTTTTACAGAGTGAGTTCCAGGACAGCCAGGGCTACACAGAGAAACCCTGTCTCAACAACCGAACACAGCAAAAAAATATTTTCTTTTTAAAATATTTTCTCTTTAAAAAAATCATTGACAATTTCATACATCATCTATATAATGAAACATGATCGTATCTATCCCCCATTTCTCCTCTCCAAGTCCCCCTTACCCCTTGAATTCTCCTAATATCCTCCTCCTAACTTCATGTCTTCCTTTCCTTTCCTTTTTATGAGTTTTTATGCTGTGGGGTGTGTGTGTGTGTGTGTGTGTGTGTGTGTGTGTGTGTGTGTGTGTAGTCATCAGTAAACTCTTAGATTGTTGCTGAATAATTGTTGAGTGATTCAAGATACTGATTTCATGTCATTTGGATATTTACTAACAAGTGGAATTGGGTATGTGTTTTGTAATTGTAGTTTTAAATATTTTCACCAATTTACATTCCCACAAATATTATCAGGGTTCCCTTTTCTTTATGTTAATTTTGTGCCCTTCAGTTTTATCACATATTTTTATTAGTACTACAAAATTTTAGTCTGCATGTATGATCATGTCAAATCTGAACACAAGCAGTTTAACCTCTGGTTTAGATTTGTTATTTCATTTTCTTGCCTGATTTTTCTGGCTGTGGTTACCAAAATGTGGAAGTGTAGAGACTGAGGGTCTTTATCTTATTCCTGATTTGCCTCTACTGACTCTCTTGATTCTTTTAACGTGAATTTGTTTTGCTCCTATTTGTTAAAGACTTTTGTGTCTAAGTGCATCAGGGATGCTTTCTTATAATCTTTCCTTGTAGTGTCCTTAATAGGCTTTGGTATGGCAGTAATACCTTTTCAAATGGTTTGGAGCTTTTATTTACTATGATTACTAATTACCATATATAATTATAATCTTTGCCTGTTATTGGTTTCCTGAGAATTTTTCATAATTCACTGTTGGGTTCCTCGCTGATCTCAGTGGTTAGCTAGGTCGCCTTGAGAAGCGGTGAGCATCAGCATTCCTGCAGTGCTACTGAAGCTCTGTGCTGCCCCAGCTCCACACAACACAACAGACAGGCCAGATTCGCCACCTTCAGGTTCCTGTGCCGTCCAACCAGCTGTCTGAAATGGGTAGAGAATCTTAGGAGATTTAGAAAATAAATCATCTCATCCATGAAGTAAACACTGACAGTTGTGTGCAGATACTGTAAGACCTCTTTGTCCTGTAGAACTGGGCTTTTTAGGCAGGTCTTCAGGATACTGCAGTATTAACAGTGTTTGAACCAGGCACTGGTGGCATTGATCTCTGTGAGGCAGGCAGATCTCTATGAGCTTGAGGCCAGCCTGGTCTACAGAGTGCGTTCCAGGACAGCCAGATCTGTGCAGAGAAACCCTGTCTTCAAAAAAACAAAACACAGTATTTGATCTTACTAGTCATTGGAATAAGCCATGTAGTACATACAAAAAATGAAAAAGGGCCAGCGATGGCAAGATGACTCATCTAGTAAAATACTCTCTCTCAAGCCTGACAACCTGAGTTCAATACCTTGGACTCACATAGTGGAAGGGAATAACCAATTCCTACAAGCTATCTTCTGACTTCCACATGTGCATTGTTTTGTGCCACCCCAAATAAATAAGTGTAACAAAAAGAAAATTAATAAAAGGATTAAGTGAATTTGAAGTCAGGGTAATGAAACAGAAAACACTTGACAAAATTTCTGAACAAGATCAAAATGTAAACCGTAATGCTCAGAGCCACATTGCAAAAGAAGGGCATGTCCATCAGAGTGAAGACATCCAACTTGGAAGAGGAGGAGAACAGACTTAATATCTTCATCTGAAAATTTGATTCTTATGTGGAAGGGCATAAACCTGACAATCCCAGAAGATCTCTTTGGTAATCTTCAAGCACTGCTGGAGTGGATGGATTTTGAGGTCTTGGAAGGTGCCTTGAGAGCACATTTATCTCATTGTTCCATTCTAAAACATACAAACCTCCTAGAGAACTGTGAGAGCCTCATTCTGAAGCAAGCCCCAGGGAGGCAAGGCTCATTCCCATTTTCTTTTTTATTATCATGAATAGTGTAGTGGACTTAGCAGGGAAAGAGCACCCACAAGTGCTGTGGAGGCTGGCCAGTGCATCTTATAATCTGACAGAGGAATTTGTAGGCTTCCTGTTTTATGAAGCCAGTGTAAAATTTCTGGCTGTGAAATTTTGCACTATGATAACTGAGAAGTGGGAACTAAATATGGAGTGTTGTTATGACCAGGCTTAAAATAGGCCCAGCGAATTTTTTTCCCTAAATGAAATGTGTGGCTCTGAGATTTTAAGAGAAATATCCCTAAGCTACCAACACTCTCTCCTCTTCTTATACCCTAAGCCTATGGTTGACAAAGCAGAGTCTATTGTGTGTTTGTGTGTGTG